GCTCGGGGTTAGCCCCCACATCCCCCCAAAAATGGGCTAGGGGCAGGGCCTTGGGATGAGCCATGCCTAAGAGAGTCAGGCAGCCCCAAGCCAAGGGTATACTGCCCCCACCTTCAAAGAGTCTGGGGTGGGGTTGTCCCCCCAACAACCTGGAGGGCAGATCCCTGGGGGTACACCCTGCTACCCTTGAGGTCATATCCCTGGGGATACTCCCCTTACCTTGGAGGTTGAGCTCCCAGGGATACCTCATCATTCAGGACATCAAATCCCTAAGGATACCCCTCCACCCTAGGGGGCAGATCCATGGGGACATGCCACTCCACCCTGGGTTTCAGCCCCCCGTGGGCACTCACCAGTCGAGGTCGATGCCAGCAGTTGTGACCAGGCTGTGCAAGGCCACAGTGCTCAGCAGCAGGCTCAGTGCCACCACCACGAAGAAGCGAGGGACACGGAAGTCAGGGGGGTGACACTGCAGCCCCCACCCCAGCGCTGCCCCTGGCAGTGGGGACAGGCAGGTTTGGCACTGGGATAGACTGGGAAGGTGCCCACAACACCCCAAGCCAGGGTTGGGTTTTGGGGTCGTCCCCCTCCCTTACCTGCCAGGATGCCAGTGGCTACCTGATGGGGGAAGTGAGCCAGCACAAAAATCCGGGAGAGCCCCATGGCCACCATGAAGAGGGAGTAGGCAAGGAATGGGATCATCCTCAGTGCCCGGCTGGAAGGAAACAGGGGGGTCAGTGGTGGGGGGGAAGCCTCCAGCTCAGTGTTCCTGGTGCCAGGCAGGGCAGGATGGATCCCTCCTGGCAGCAGGACGGAGTGAAGCAACAAAAAAAGCTTTGGAAGGGTCTCACAGCCAAGGCAGGGATGTGTTTCCCTGGAGATGCCCTGATGGCAGCGGGAGGCATCCTGCCCACTGAAAAAGGGTCCCACATCCCACCTCCCTCTTCCCAAAGGTCCTCTGGAAGCTCCCAAGCATTCCCCATCCCAGACTCACCTCTGGGTGTGGGAGGACACCTGAGCTGTCAGGGCAGTGATCAGTGGCCACAGAGCTGCCCCAGTGATCATGCAGTGGCCCGAGGGGCTCCCTGGGGAGGGAAGCACATGGAGGGTCTGTTTCCCAGTGGAATGAGCACTGGGAATGTCAAGCCTAACCCTGTCTGTGTCCTGGAATCCCTCTGGGCTGGGCCATGCCAGGGTAGGGACTCAAGGATGAAGATGGAGCCAGTGCCTGTGGGCAATGGGCACATGCTCAAAATTCCAGGCAGGGACACAGATCTCAGGTGGAACAATCCCATTCCCAGACTCTCCCGTGGGTTTCCTGGCCCTGGAGCTGTGGTATTGTGCCAGCACCTGTGGAGTCAGGTCCGTTCCCTCCTGCTCCCTCTTTCTCCCTGCTGAGGAATAGCTTTTCCTGCTTCCAGCCCGGCGTTCCCACAGGGATGGAGCCACCTCGGCAATTCCCTAGGGATCGTGAGGCTGCTGGAGACACGTGTGACTCACCTGGTCCCGTTTCGCAGGTGACCGGGAACTGGCGCGGCAGGAGCAGCTCCCGGTGGGAGAATCCCGACTCCTGGAGCCACCAGTACGGGCGTTCCCCAAACAGGAACCTGGAGGGAGGGAAAACATGGAGCTCTGAGTGGCCCAGTACCTTCCCACGAATCCTGGGGGATCCGGGAGGGCAGGATCCCTGCCACCCATCCCAGGATTTCCAGGGATGAACTCCCAGCAGTAGGGCAGGATCCCTGCCAGCCCTGATGTCTCCCAGTGTTCTCTTTGCCAGGAATTCCAGGCAGATGCACTGGTACAGCTCAGGTGACCCTGTGTAACCCACAGGGGAGTCTCTGGCCAGAATTCCAAAGGCAGGGAGCAGCTCCCAGAGTAAAGCTATTCCCACTCCCCCTGTCCCCTCACCATTTGAAGACCACGTTGAGCCACTCGGCCACGAGCCCAATCCACAGCACCATCAGCCCCATGTGTGTGTCCAGGCTGTGGGCGAGTGGGAAGCAGATGGTGTAGATGGATTTGGGATCGGCACGGGAGGTCAGGAAGATCCAGAACTGCTCCAGCCAGGGTGGTCCAGCCTGCAGAGCTGCTGCTGCCCTGACCCCAGCCTCGTGCAGAGCATCCATGAAGCCAGGCTGTAGGATACAGGGATGGAGGTCAGCCCTGGCACACATCCCCTTGGGAAGGGGTTGGGAGGTGGCTGTATCCTGAGGGATGCCTTGGGAAGGGGGTGGGAAATACCTGGACCTCAAAGGATGCCTTGGGAAGAGGTTGAGAGGTGACTGGATCCTGCAGGGTATCCATGGCAACAGGCTGTGGGACACAGGCAAGGAGATCAGCCCTGGCACAGATCCTGATGGAATTCCCTGAGGTCTCTTTGGGACCTCCCTAAATCAGGTCTGGGATCTCCTTAAGGTCTCTCTGGGACTCTTTAGGGTCTTTTTGGGGTCTTAGGCCTGGAGTGCATCTGGGATCCCTTGGAGCAGGCCTGGCCTGGGGGCTCTTTGGAATCTATTTGGGATCTCTTTGGGATCCCTCTGGAGCAGGCTTGGACTGGGATCC